AGTAATGACTCCTATTTCGGGAAAACAAACATAGTAGTCCTATTTTGAAATTTGCAAAGTTGTTTACTCCTATTTAAGGGAATTTCTTAAATCAAAATGATCATTTTTCCTCAAATAAAAAATCAAATAAATCTTTATACTATTTTGTTTCCATCACTTAAATTTTTGTACTAAAGAAAACATCTACACTTACTTTTTAATCACAATCAAATAAGTCATTCTCACCTACCATAGTAGGTTATTTAAAAAAAAATAGGTTAAGAATATTGATAAGTCTTATAAAAATTTATATAAATTTAAAAAATAATGTAATAATAATAATATAAAAAACTGCTATTACAGGTCAAAAATTTATTAAATGGTCAAATTGATCAAATTTTTTAAGTGAGTGTACTTATGTGACATTTTTTAGTATAAGGACTTAATTGATGGATTCGAAATAGTAGAAGCACTTATTTCACTCTTTTCTCGGGCCTTTTTCCTCAAATAGGAGACTTTTTTGGTTTGAAGGAGACTTAAAAAATTAACACTCCTGTGTACTTGAATGAGTGGGATATTAGGTATTTCACCAAAATTAATAAAATTAATGTGAAATAAGTAATATTTATGGTACAAAGTTATACGGAGTATTATGTTGAAAGATGGGCTCACTATTAATTAGGGGCCTAAAAAATAAAGTACTAGTATGTGGATATAGGCCACGCTTCTAGGGTTCGTCTGCCCCCATCGTACGTAACTCAATTGATATAGGCAGTGTTTGTCGGTGCTTAAAAAAAGCACTTATCTACTTTTAGCTTCTAAAAAGTCAAAAATGGTGTTTGCAAACTGAAACTTCTGCTTATTTTAAGTAACTTTAAGCTAAAAGTTGCAAGTTGGGTTATACATGCTTTTTTCTGCTTCTAGGGCTTTTTGTAAATAAATCCAACTTTTAGAATAGTTGTATTCCTTATTATTTTGATTAATCCCCTGAACTACCCTTCGTTCTCACAGGCCACAACCTTGCCGATGAAGTTGGTCAACGGGTTCCTCGCAAGCTTCGTCCCCTCCGTGGCCTCTCAAGACATACCCCACTCCTTCAGACTTCTGGCTTTTCCTCTCTCAAAGTCATGACAACTAAATCTAAGCTTGATTACATCTATGGAGGAGAAATGTCAGAAAAAAGAACCCATGTACTTCCATTTTTTAAGAAAAACTTTGACCACAGTCACCAATTGTAAATGTTATCTCAAGCACCCGCCGTATCAAGAAGCACCGGAAGCACCTATGGCTAACTTTACTCTCTTCCTCTCTTCTCTGTTCACGACTGAAATTGCAGCTCACGGTCTGGTGAGAGGCTTTTTTATGTATACAAGGGGCATTATTGTACTTTAACAAAATACTTCATCAAAAATCACTTTTTTATCAAACACTCCAACTTTTACATTTGGATTAAAATCACTTATATTCTCAAACACTATCAACTTTTACTACCAATCACTTTTCCAATAATCTCTTCAAAAAATCACTTTTAAAAAGTACAAGCAATCACAAACACTCCAATAGTCTTATAACTTATAAGAGTCATTTTTCTCTCCTAGAAATGGACCACAGCTTGGAGAGTTATTTTACCCAATGGTATGTTTGGGAGTTTGAAGGTAAGAGAAGGGAAAGATTTTGAAGGTTAGTCATTGTAAGAGAAAATGATGGAAAGGGCAGAAAATTATCATTTTTGTTTGGGAGTAACAAATTTAAAAAGACGGAGTTTATGAATGAGTTGTAATTAAACTCACCTCACATATATGATACATTCAAATAGTTGAATTTATATTTATTTAGAATTGAGCTAAAGTTGTCATTTAATTAGTTATCCTTCAAAATCCTCCAAATTGGGGAACTTAAAAATTGAGTATTTGAAGGGTTTTGGAGGGCCACAAAAGCTCTCCAAAATCATCTCCTCCATATTTTTAAACTCTCAAATATGAAAGGGAGGGTCTTAAACCCTTGTCAATCTTCTCCTCCCCTCCAAAACCTAACTCTAAAACAACTCATGTTTGGAAGTTTGAAGGGAAGGTTTTGAAGGTTAGTCATTGGAAGGGAAGGAGAGGGAAAGGGGAGAAAATTCTTCTTATTTGGAAATAACAAGTTGAAAAGAGAGAGAGATTATGGATGAGTTATAACTAAAAGCACTATATGTATATATATATAGAGAGAGAGAGAAAACTTCATGTCAGGCCGGCCTGACGGGCTGCCCCGTCCGGCCGAGCCCGTTTGGGTACCTTCCCGGTGGAATTTTTTGATGAATTTTTTTGAGCATGTTCTTCATCAAATCTAGTTTGTCCATACCAAATTTCAGCTCAAAATTCAATCGGGAAGGTCGATTTTTGCAAGTTAACTGGTCCGGAATATGTATTTTCCGGACCAGTTAACTTGCAAAAATCATTTGACGACCTTCCCGATCGAATTTTGAGCTGAAATTTGGTATGGACAAACTAGACTTGACGAGGAACATGCTCAAAAAATTTCATCAAAAAATTCCACCGGGAAGGTGCCCAAACGGGCTCGGCCGGACGGGGCAGCCCGTCAGGCCGGCCTGACATGAAGTTTTCTCTCTCTCTCTATATATATATATATATATATATATATATATATATATATATATATATATATATATGTGTGTGTGTGTGTGTGTGTGATGAATTCAAATAGTTGAATTTATATTGATCTAAAATTGAATTAAAGTTGTCATTTAATTAGTTATCAGTCAAAACCCCTAAATTTGGGGGAACTTGAAAATGAAGCGTTTGAAGGGTTTCAAAATCATTACCTCCATATTTTTAAACTCCCAATCATGAAGGAGACGATCATAAACTCTTGTCAACCTTCCCCTCCAAAACTCAATTCTCAAAATGGTTTTGAGAGTTGCATTTGTACATTGGTCATCGTGATATCGATTTTTGTTGGGTCAATTTTTTAAAGTATGCCTATGCAATTAACTAATACGTAGTATATGTGAGTAAATATATCGCACGTAGCACGGATATTTTTTAAAGTATGCTTATGCTGCTTTGTTTATTTCAATTCTTTAATCCCACGGAGTATACATGAAAATATCATTCTTGAAAGGAAAACCGCACATTTCGTCCCCCAATTAGACCATATTGAAATCTCAGACCCGCATTTCCGATTTCTTAAATGTCAACCCGAGTTGTCAGAATAATTATAGATGTTACCCCTGTCGTCATAAATATTACAAACTTCGTCTGTCTTTCATTTTTTTCAGGGTTGAAATTGTAACCTCACATCCTTTTCGTTTAAAGCCCTAATTCGAGTTATCCCCAACCCTTATCACGCTTATCCTTCCAAAATTCAAATGTTAAGCTTAAACCTTTACTCTTTGCTCTGAATATTTTTTCCGCCAAGTTTCTGTTGTACATGGTGTTCGAAGACTGAAGGTATATTAAGGCCAAGATTCCCCTTTGAAGGTCGAAGCTGTGACAGAGGAAAGAAAGATGACCAGTCGACATGGCATATACCATAATTTGTCAAGGAAATGTGTTGAACTCCTGCAACTATGGCATACACCACAATTCGTCAACATAGTTGTCGTGCAAAATTAATCAAACCACAAACATCATGCCACCCACTCAACCCTAGACATCCGGTTAAATCTTTGAATAAAAAAAAGAATGAAATATATGTGCGCACCTGAAGACGGAGAACAGACGAAGGAAGAGAGCTCTACAAAACTCCAAACGGCTGAATAACGGACCAAGGAAGAGAGCTTTTGTTTCAAGGCGAAGGAACAACTGAAAAGCTTTTCATCCCCCAACAATGGATGAAGTATGGTTTGTATTCAATTAAGGGCTTTAAACGTCAAAGGATGGGAATGACAATTTTAACCCTGAAAAAATGAAAGGCAGACCGAGTTTGTAATATTTAAAACGGCAGGGGTGACATGCATTTATAATTATTCTGACAACTCGGAGGTAACATTTAAAAATCCTGAAATACGGGTCTGAGATTTCAATATGGTGGATAATTGGGGACGAAATGTGCGATTTTCCCTTCTTAAAAAATAAAGGACCCTAATGCATATAAATAAATACTCCATATTAAAGAATGAGAGCTTGTTTTTAAATATTTAAAACAGATTTTTTTTTCACTTAAGGCGGAGCTCCGCATTCGGTCGTTTTCTATTGCAGACAGATCACAGGGCAGTTACAAAGGCAACATGATAGAGATTTCTTCTACACCTCGGACATGGATTTCAATGGCAAACCTCGAGAATCAAATTGGCGAGAGCAAATTGGCGAGCGCAAGAAGGATAGGGTTTCCTATGAATTTTCAGGGGTCGAAATTCTCTTCTTCCATACTACAACAGCTCGTCCGCCTCTAGAACCACCTCCGGGGGAAGAAGCAATTTGGAGAAAGTTTCTATTTTCGTATTATTTTTTCTTTAGTAGTACTTGTTTTTATTTCAGTTCAAGTAGGTATGGTTGGAGTATTTTGATTTTTGATGAACTTTTGATAGGCAGTGCTTCATTCGATCGATTTAGGCTTATTCTTGCTCGTTTGGTGTCTAGCGAGTCAGGTTGCTTTATATGGGTGACTGACTCTAAGTCTATTTTTAGGGCTTGCGATCGAATCTGTAATACCTGTCTGGATTTCGTCTGACATGTTTGCTCCAATTTTAATGAAAGCCGTTTTGACGATAAAAAAACTAATGTGGCATTTTTATTCTTACAATATCTAGTAATGTAGAAAGTGAAAATTACGTATAATATATTATTTAATTACTTGTTGCTCCTAAGGCCGAGTGATAGAAAAAATTATACTCTGTATCTTTTATCCTGATAAATTAATTAATAATGAAAGACTAGACATAGGAGAGTAGTAGGAGTGGTTATGGACTTCTGGTTAAGTACAAATTAACCGGTTAGAATGACGATAGGCAAAGCCGCAAAGGATATCAATGGGAGAAACATGTGTTTCGCACTTTTGCAAGTGCGGAAAATATAAATCGCAGAGTAGCAAAATTAAAGAATGAATACTTAAGTAGCAAACTTATACTCCGTAACTACTAACCCTTCAAAGTTTTGCAAGTATGGCACTTGACATGGATCATGGATGTAAAATGTGTAGTACGTGGTTTAAGATGCATCTTTCAATCATAAGTTTTACAAGGTAGAATGTGGATTTTAAATGTATCTTTGCAGTCTGGTGCCTCACCCTGGCCATCGCAGTTTAGCTCTTTTGCACAATAGTTGGTCGACAAATGCAATCCGGGCAATACAACATTGAAAATATAACAGTCTATCATGTCACGTGTTTATCATGCACATTGTAGCATTAAAAATGTTCTTAATACCTCCCTAAAGTTTTAGACCCTAAAATCTGTAAACAGTAAACACAGGGCCTAAAATGCACGTTAAGTTAATACTATCGTATAATATTAGAAACACACACAAGGACATAAAAAAATTTGAACACAGAATTTCTATCATTTTATTACAAACCATGGTGATGAGTTTTGTACCATGGCAGCTAATTGGCGGGCAAAACTGCTAAGCAGTCTTTAAGCTTGTGTACATCACACCATTACTTAATACTGGGAGTGGCACTTCTGGTGGTCTTCACATAGTCCACATAATCACTGTAAGTCAATGTGAAGATTGTGCTTTGGTAGCGAGTTAGCTGGATGTCGTCCAAAATTGAATCGGTTATCGGGCCATTGTAACCTGCCTTTCGCATGAGTGAGATAACTGTTTGACCTTGTGTCCAGCCTAAGACCAATAGAAAATAATTCTCATTGGAAAAACAGATGAAGAAATGATGACGTGGATGTTTACATCTCATTATGTTCATTCATTTTTAAATTTCAGACATCACCATACCCAACTGTGAAGATATGCCAGTATACCACATATGCAAAGTTGAATAGAGTCCAATAAATTGCAGTTAGGGGAGATTGAAGGACCAAAAATACTCATTTGAAAATTGGGGGCCAGAATCACCAAATCGGGATAGTTGGGGGGCCATATTTAGACCTTTATTGAATGCCTACTTGCAGAGGCAGAGAGAGCATGGGTGTCCAAGCCGTTAGATCGAGTAGCCCATGATGTCATGTGAGCTCGGTCAGTTCAATCCAACAGCTCAGGCACTTTGGTGTAGTCACTACATGGGCAGAATGGAACAACCCACTAAGAACTTAACAAATGTACTTAACTCTTGTTTATATATGGCAATTAGTAAACTTCCCACTAAGCATGTAGATGTAAATTCCAACGGATCATATATTCCCATAAAGCATACTCCATCAGTCTAAAGTTATAAAACAACCACCCATCGTTACTCACTTACTCAGGAAGGTAAAAAACTCTCCTTCCAGTTCTCCAGATTTACTCGACAAAAACAAGAAACTACAATAAAATCATGATAAGACATAACAAATGTATCTTGAATTATGTGATAAGAGATTTTCAAATTTCACCAATATGTATTTTTATGCAAAAGGATATATGTGTGGAAGTCATATAAAAATGCAACTCGTACTTATTAAAGTACACGATTTATAATCTTAACAAAAATATACTCGTATTAAAAACACATTGCCCAAAAAAACTACTACACAGGATGGATGTTGTATTACTTGTATGTCATTCATTGGAATGTGATCCTATTGAAGGCGCCCAGTGTTCCTAACTTGTGAAATATAATTCAAACATAGGATACAAGAAAATAGCAACACTTCGTGATGTACACGAATTCTTAAAATGATAAGAGAATGCACCAAACAGCCCATATCAAACTGCAATACTGTGTGATAGGTTCAACCGTTCAAGATGATAAGAGATTAATAAATAAGACAAAAAAGGACTAGTCACCTTCATGTGCAGCTACTTCTGGCAGGTATGTGGCGCTTCTCTTTGTATTATTAAGGTCAGTAAATTCAATAGTTATTCCATGCTTACCAACCTGAATACCATATTTTATTGACAAAACATAGACACAAAGTTATAAAACAACCACCCATGGTTACTCAGGAAGGTAAAGAACTCTCCTTCCAGTTTTCCAGATTTGCTCGACAAAAACCATAAATTCTACAATAAAATCATGATTACCCATAACAAATGTATTTGTATTTATGTCTGTGTGTGCATGTTCAACAAAAATCAGTTCAAAGATACCCCTGAATCACTCAGAATAAAATCCAAGAAGCAGTTAGTAAATACAGAGTACGAAATGCAATATTATCAATCCACTAACCACACAATCTGTTCAGATCTTAAGACTTTGAAGTCAACAAGTCAAGATGGAAGACATGATGCAGTGGCGGATGCAGGGGTACAAAAAGAGTTTAATGAGGGAACAAGACTCAATAAACTATACTTTTTTCGTCCACCCCACCCCCTCCAAAAAAGAGTTTTGTTTGTAAATTCAATGATGACTGCCCTTTTGGGAGTGAGGAAGCATTACATTGCACAATATCTCATGACGAAATATGAAATTTTAGAAGTGATCTCAATTATATTTTCATCATAATTGAGTCTAATATGTCTTTTTCTATAATAATTGACAACTAGTCATTAACTGACTTAATTAAATTATGCATAGTTGCTTTACAGTTTTCATTGCAGTTGTAAACTGGCCAAGAATAAAAAAGAGCAAGGGGTTATGATTTAGAGGTGTTAGGTCCCTGTTTTCTATTCTAAAATGTATGAGTATGGAAGACAGATCTGGGAATGAAGCTTTCCATTGATGGTGAAGGTTTTACAGAATGATGTGAAAACTTAGCGTAAAAACCTTACACACAAATAGGCACTGCGGCACAGAGAATGTATTGAAAAGCTTAACCTAGCCATTCCTAAGGGGTCTATTTATAGCCTCCTTAGAATGGTAGGTTTTACAATGATATGGGCTCTCCTTTTTAGGAGGCCCATTCCTAATTTAGCTTAGTAGCCTTTTCCATTTAAGGCCTATTCTATGATAAATAAATTATTACAAAAGGCTAAGTAACATTGATCACAATATAATGAAAATATCTCTAACAATCTCCCCCTTTGTGATCAGATGTTCTTGCTTCTTCTATTCTTCACTTCCGAGCTTTATAATAGTGCTTTCTGAGATTGAGTGCATGCTCGTAGTTTCTGAGTGACCTTCTGTCAAGTTGTTTCTCTATAGCTTTCAAAACTTTGTCGATTCTGTTTGACTCTGTAAGTTCCTCATCTGTGGCATCTGCATACTTCTGTTGTCTTTCATTAAATTCTTTTCTGATCGGTTGCAATTTTTCTTTCACAATCTTCAGTGTTCCATCACAGTACTTGTTGATTTCTTCAGTCACCAACACACGCCTCTCACCATTGTGATTCAAGTAGATGATCGCTAACGGGCGATCGAAGATGTAATATGCTGGAAAGTTCTCAAGCTCTGGCCCGTAAAGCTTTGGTCTTGAGAGGTTAGTCTTTGGCAGATTGGTTTCAAGGGCCATCTGAAGATCATGGGAAGCAAAGAATTTGACTTGTCTGATCATGAAGCGCTTGAGTGCATCGAAGCCATCTTGTGTAGATCTGTCCCAAGTGACGGGAATTTCTTGGAATGCTAGATACATGTGATAGATGTCGTCCATCTTTAGCATATAGAGGTCATTTTCCTTACAGGTGAATTCAGTCCCGTCAGAGCGTTGTAGGCGGTAAACAGAGAGTGTGATATCTTGATGATTTACTTCGGCTACATTGAGAATACTCCATACTGGGTCTGTTGCTGTTTGTAGTTCACGTTGCCATACTTCTCTCTGTTTCCCCATGTAGTGATGACTAAGCAGAAACAATTGTCCTCCCTTGTTCTTTCCTCGTAGATGATTAAGCCCACGGATTTTCAATTCGTCCAGTTCATTGACTTTGTCATCTCTTCGCCATATATGCTTTCTGATTTCCTCTTGGAAAGGAGCATTGATGTTCATATTCTCCCAAGACTTTTCACTTCTGGGCATTCGAGCCGCTGTTTGTCTGATGATGGATTCCAGCTCCTTGGGAGGTTCCTGATAATTCTCTCCTTCCTTGAGTTCATCGTCATGAAGCAGTATCACATCAACGGCACATTTAGCTAGGAGTTCTCTGAGATAGGCTCTTCGCTGTATTTCATCCACATTTGTCCATAGCCGAGACGACTCGTTATGAACAAGAATTTCTTCAAGTTCGCCATGCATTCGATCATTCGATTGGCTAGAGGGAACTTGCTGCTTTGGCGGTCTGTCAAAAGTAACCCCAGGATCACTAGGATTGCCCGTTATCATCAGATTAGAACTAGGTTCTTTCTGATGGCCTGAATAAAATGGTGTACTCGAAGTAGCAACCTCAGGACTTCCACTCCATCCTTGGACAGCACCTGTAATGGATGTGCCTAGGAGTGTTGTATCTAGCTCGACCGGGCTAGAAATGGGTGGATTGGCTGTTTGGCTTTTGTGTTGAGTGGATGGTGGGGGCTGATTGTTCGAGGATTCAGATGGGTTGGATTGCGTGGAAGGTTGGCTTGTTGACGCATCACGCTCAAGTATTCGTTGCCTCTTGTTCTCCCCCTCATGAGGATCCGAATCATCGGGGTGCTCATGTGAACGTTTGTGACTACGAAAACTATCACGGCATGTGCTGTCAGGCTTAAGGATCCGAAGAAGGTCTTTTTGTTTCTGGGTTAGGTTGCCTTCTTCGGTAGCTAGCAGTTGTTCTAGCATGAGGGTTTCGAATACCTCGAACGATAGAGTTTTCGGGTCAGGGAAAGGTGTGGTCGAATTAGGGGAGGACACTAGTTCTGTATCCTGGGTTCCCCTTGAAATGGTAGGAGTAGTAGGTTGGGTTGTGGATGGTTCAGAGTTTTGGCGGATGGAGAAATGGGTAAAAAGTGGATGTGTTTGTTGGGTATGTGAGGAAGATGGTTGGGGTTGGATGATGTCGTTAAGCAGCGCCGGGGTGTTCCTGAATTCCTGTGCCCGAGCGGTTATTGCTTCATGCACCCATGGCTTCGTGCACCCTACCGACCCTACTGAAAGGTCGGTAGGGTCAGGGTTTCCGGTTACAGGGGTAGTAACCGTTGTCACAGCATCAGTAAAGATTACCGATGTGTGGCCTGCAGATAATGATGGAGGTATCTGTTGTGCAGCAGGACTTCCGATCATCATCGACGTATCTCCGATCATTGAGGACAAGTAAAGTGCACCTGTTGTGTGCGGTGGTGTGAGAAGTGTATGTGTCCTAGAAAAAGTGGAAAATGTTGGGAGGGTGGAACCTAGACTCAAGGTGGTTGAAGGAGGGGTAGTGGTTTGGGACGGAAGACCACAAAGAATGTCCTCAACTGCGACGTAAGGAGGCAGTGAGGTGGGTATGATGTCCCCTATTTGTGAAACTACTACCTGTTGGGAGGCAGCAAAGTGGTCGGGTGAGACTTGTGCATGCGCAGTTGGGCAAGATGCTGCGTCTTCTACCCGGAAACTGAAAATATCAGTCTCTGCTCCTAAGGGGTTAGCCCGGTTTATAGTGTCTAGGTCGGAGCAACTGTCATATAGGGCCAGTTCTTCAGCCAAGTTGCTTGTTGTTTGCACTCTTTGCATAGGAATTGATGATGAGGAGGGGTTGTCATGATGTACCTTGGAGCGAGTCTCACTGATGATGTGAGACTGCTTTTGTGTTGTAGCGCCAAGGTGAGACTCGCTCCAAGGTACGTCATGACAACCCCTCCTCATCATCAATTCCCATGCAAAGAGTGCAAACAACAAGCAACTTGGCTGAAGAACTAGCCCTATATGACAGTTGTTCCGACCTAGACACTATAAACCGGGCTAACCCCTTAGGAGCAGAGACTGATATTTTCAGTTTCCGGGTAGAAGACGCAGCATCTTGCCCAACTGCGCATGCACAAGCCTCACCCGACCACTCTGCTGCCTCCCAACAGGTAGTAGTTTCACAAATAGGGGACATCATACCCACCTCACTGCCTCCTTACGTCGCAGTTGAGGACATTCTTTGTGGTCTTCCGCCCCAAACCACTACCCCTCCTTCAACCACATTGAGTCTAGGTTCCACCCTCCCAACATTTTCCACTTTTTCTAGGACACATACACTTCTCACACCACCGCACACAACAGGTGCAATTTACCTGTCCTCAACGATCGGAGATACGTCGATGATGATCGGAAGTCCTGCTGCACAACAGATACCTCCATCATTATCTGCAAGTCACACATCGGTAATCTTTACTGATGCTGTGACAACGGTTACTACCCCTGTAACCGGAAACCCTGACCCTACCGACCTTTCAGTCGTTCTGCAGCGTTTCATGGATTCCACCATTAAGCCATGGGTGCACGAAGCAATAACCGCTCGGGCACAGGAATTCAGGAACACCCCGGCGCTGCTTAACGACATCAGCCAACCCCAACCATCTTCCTCACATACCCAACAAACACATCCACTTACCCATTTCTCCATCCGCCAAAACTCTGAACCATCCACCCAACCTACTACTCCTACCACTTCAAGGGGAACCCAGGATACAGAACTAGTGTCCTCCCCTAATTCGACCACACCTTTCCCTGACCCGAAAACTCTATCGTTCGAGGTACTCGAAACCCTCATGCTAGAACAACTGCTAGCTACCGAAGAAGGCAACCTAACCCAGAAACAAAAAGACCTTCTTCGGATCCTTAAGCCTGACAGCACATGCCGTGATAGTTTCCGTAGTCACAAACGTTCACATGAGGACCCCGATGATTCGGATCCTCATGAGGGGGAGAACAAGAGGCAACGAATACTTGAGCGTGATGCGTCAACAAGCCAACCTTCCACGCAATCCAACCCATCTGAATCCTCGAACAATCAGCCCCCACCATCCACTCAACACAAAAGCCAAACAGCCAATCCACCCATTTCTAGCCCGGTCAAGCTAGATACAACACTCCTAGGCACACCCATTACAGGTGCTGTCCA